ATGAGAAAGAAAGACAATACAGACATCTTGTTTTCTCTGCACAAGCTGAGAGCAGTACAGAGGGAATTTTATTGTCTAAGTGTCAAAGGAAGCAGGAAGAAGTATCAACATAAGGGCTATGGGAAGTGCAGTAAGAACTAAATCTAAATACCAGTTCTGTGGTGGCTACATAAGAACACAGAACCACACTGATTAATTACAAAAAGACACACGTGATATTGTTCTTAAAGAAAGAAACCTTCCATTTCTTAGTTCTGAGCTGTACCAGTGATAAACATATAAATGGTTTTGGAGCACCCTATCAGTGCTAGAGTAGAATACTGATGTGCAGGGAAGAGGACCACTCTGGTCCCACTAGCACCATCTCAACCCTGACTGGAGGGAAACTCTGCTCTGCAGAGATTACGGGAGATTAGGCCTTCTGGGCCTAAGCTGAGTTGCTCTTGAGCAGACAGGGCCAGGGCACCACTGAAGGAGAATGGTTGTGATACAAGTAAACACCTGCTCAGAAAACAGACAATATTAAATTCCCTAAGGAGTTAGCTTGGCTGTAGAGGGACCACTTCCACCTTGCTCTGGCAGAGCAAATGCCAAGCCAGAATAGCAGTTGCTTTCTTAGGTTGTTTTAAATCCGTAATGCAGGTCTTAATGTTGACAGGACAACAGTGCAAGACCACTGGAATATACAGTGTTATTTCAGCCAGACGTGCACAGACAGTACGCATGGGACACAGGGCACCTCCTGCTTATATCTAGTGCCTGATCATTGGGACCACTTGAAATATGTCACTTAGAAGGAGTAAGTGGCTAAAGCAACCATCTGAAATGATTATCTAGAGCCACTGGGGCAAGGTCAAGCCCATCTAATCCAGACTCTTGCCCTTTGGCAACAGGAGCATTCTTCTGTTCATTATGGTTTCTTAAACTCTCCAATTCTAAGGACAGTCATTTCGGTCTATACAACACCATATGTCAGCCTTAAGGGGCAGGCACCTGCTTAAGGCTTTCATCTGAAATACTTAAAACCAAAATTTTTTGTGTTAACCAGATCTGATAACAGCAACACAGCTACTGCATGGACATAAACTATGTTTCAGCCACAGTTCTGGAGTAATTTATTCTGGTAGACCTGAGCATACTATGTACTGACCCATACAGTGGCACACAGGTAATATAGTCAACTGAAAAAACCACTCCACTCCCAGCTAAAACACTTGCTAACATACCTTAAGTTCCCATTTAGCTTATCATATCAGAGTTAAAAAAAAAAGCTAGTGTGTCACAGACTGATGGCCACCCAACCCCACTCTACAGTGTGCAAAGTTTGTATCAGAGTGACACTGTAGCAGAAAGTTTTGCTCACTAATCTATTAATCCATTAAAAAAATTGCAGTTGGCCAGGTATCAAGGGACTTGTCTACATAAAAGTATAAAGAGGAGCTCATATTTCAAGGTTTGCATTACATTTAAAATAGTTTTGCTAGTAGTAGGTCAGCATTTGTTCAAGTCTTTCAAAACTCACCTAGACTTCACATTCAACATATGCAGTGTCTATCCATTCCTAGTGTATAGATGCAGTTCCCTTCCACAGAGTTCAGAAGGCCGTGTACTGCAGAACAGAAGTCAGGTGAGACCTAGTGAACAGTGACATTTACATGCCAGAGCTACATGAGCAATCATATTAATATTTAACATTAAATAATTAATAGGACTCCTCAAGATCCATCTTTTTTGTTCTGCAGGCACTAAGGAGTATGAGTTACAGTCTCGTTCCTTATTTTCATTCATTCTCTGTAGCTCTGAAGACTGCAGAATTGAAAAAGACTCATCTCTAGCCATTCTTCCTTATGGTTAAAGGCAGGCAGACAGAAGCCAGAGCAGGTGGATGAGGGAGGAAAGAAGTGCCAAAGTTCATCTTTCATTGTACCCTCAGGTTTCTTACAGCACAAGACTAATCCTCTCTCTCACTGGGGGGTGCTGTCTTGTTTGTTAGCAAGGAGGGTAAACTTTGCATTGAAGTGATTCATCTTGTTACAAAGGTATGGGGAACAAGAAGGGGAGAATTGTTTGGTCATTTTCCAGTTTCTTGCACCATCTGCTAAACTGGAGATACACAAACAGTAAGGGGCAGGAATTTTACCACATAGAGAAACATAGTAGAAGGCTTGAAATAGTAAGCCTAGTAGAGGGTTCATGTCTGCTCCTGGGTCAATTTTGGGAAGTTGTCAACATTAGATACATAAGAAGAATTAAATGCCTCCTAATGTACATAATTGTGCAACTAAATCTTGAAAGAGGGTATTCTTGTCTGGCTACTGCTGAGGATTAAGAGATCTTGAACTCTACCTGTCATTCATTCCTTAAACATCTACTTCCTTTGGTTTTCTAAGCTACTGGCCCCAGTTACATCCTGCAGGAAAGCACTTAATTACCAGGTCAATCAAAGCATTTTGTTTAAAGCCCTTTTGCCCTGCTCTCAAGAAAGCATCATTAGCTTGCAGCTGACCCCTCACTTACCTCATCTGTTTTGAAATCTTCCTCCCAACACACTTCCCCTCTCCATCTAAAAAGGCTCAAGTCTGTCCAGCTATTGAATGTGCTCTGTATGAAGCTACTAATTATTCTCAAGAGTTTTCCAGTTACTCTGAATTAACTAACCAACCAACTGCCCAAAGTCATGGTGAGGATGCATCCTAGTTTTATCTAAATGGCTTTTATAATTTTTTGCTGGATTTTATCCCCTTTAACAAAAGCTGACATTAAGTCTCCCTTGCTGACTGCTGCTTGTATTTATCGTAAGATTCACAGTGGCACTTGAACTTTCAGTCCGCTGCATAGCATACATTATGCAAAGGCAGTTTGTGGCTGTTAGGGGACACATTATTTACAGGTAACAGTGGTAGTACCTTTACAACATAGCATCAGTTAGCAACCAGACACTAATGTTAAATTACAGCCACACAAAATTGACGAGAGGACACATTCAAATGGGTGCGTGGCTTGCTACTGCTGTCTAATTTCAAATATGTAGCTGGAGTGCACGGAGGGACAGGTGTTGCACTGTGGAAACCGGCATCCTCTTCTGGATTAGCCTTATTTGGATCTGCCACCTTCCTATGGATTGTCCTCCTGGTCACACAGCATAGCAGAAAAGTATAGACTGCAAAGAGAGCTTGGAAGGACAGACTGCACTGGTATGGATATAGCGCCCTGCAAGTTACATCACAGTTAAGGATGTACAATTAGGAACCTGTAAGGCCTGAGTTAAATCGCTTGTGGGTGGTGCTTTGAAGATTAACACTGCTTTAACTTGACACAAGAGCTGATTTCTTTGGGGATAAGAATCCATTCTCTGCCACCAAAATAGCCCTGCTTATATGAGGGTGTGGCTCAGCAATACTGCAACAAAAAGCCTGGTAGAGCTAAGCTCCATCGTGTTTCTAACAAGTTCACAGGAAAGAAGAATAAGCTCAGTTCTAACAAAATTAAATACGTAGTATTTCAGAAAGTTTAGCTCCTTGTCAGTGCTGTGATAAAACAAGACTCAGTTTCTCTCAAGAATACTCTCACTCTAAAGCTCAATTTTTGCATCTCCTGGATCCATGTATCCAGATCACTTCAAGGCCATGCTTCTGACAACCCCACAGTTTCCAGGCCCTAGGCCTAAAAGAGAGGTCTGACAACACTCCAGGTTTCTGACAAGCATTACACTGCTTAATCAGTAGTACGACACTCCCCGGAAAAGAAGTGTAGGAAGAATCAAGGCTGTAAGTGGGTAGAAAGGCCTGTCCCAGCCCTTTGGGGAAAGCTGGCATAAGTGGTGCTGTTAAATACTGCAGCTGTCCAAGAGCAAGAACACAAGTGCAGCTCTGGGACTGGGACGCGGAACTACTTTCAGGAGGTTCCAGGCTGAGCTTTCAGTAAAGCAGCTGCACTCTCCTCGAGCAGGTCTTCCCAGCAGCAGGTGTAACTCTAGCACTAACAATGCAGTGAGGAAGGAGCAAGACCCTTGTGGGAAGGAAGAAGGCTTGTACAACCTGTTCACATCATTAAATCCTTTAACTATTTACTCTTAAAAATCATACCTCAGTGACTGAAGTGCTTTCCACAGGCTTTCACAGTAGCAGTCACTAGAAGTTAATAGAGAGAAGGCTGATAAAGAGACAACTCAAAATTCAGGCTTCTCACGAGCCCCTGCCTGTCCCTGCCTCCACTACTGGGATGATTGAGGTCTCTGTGCCCATTTTCATATGGCAATGGCATGAGCATACCCTGACCCACTGAACCACAAAAGGACTTACAGCAACAGCTCACCAGCATCATCAGTGGATAAAGAGGATCATCATCGACTGTCTACCCCCTCAGAGACAATGAAATGCTTTGAAACAGGCAGGACTAAACACACCAAAATGCGCTTTTTCCAGATGAGAGGCCCTTGCATGATCAATAAATCAGGCTGAGCAAATTCAGCCCTGTCTCTCATAAGAGCAGTGCTAAAGAAACTGTTCATAATGATGAAGCCAAGAGCTTTTGCACAAGATACAGGGGACATCCCATTCCAGCATCACTTCTTCCTCAGCCCTGCCGGCCTTGCATGGTTTGAAGACTTCCGTGGAGACAGGAAGAAGTACTGTCAACAAAATGCTTCATCTACTTGCTGTCAAAACAAAAAAATGGATAGCAAGTCTGCAGACCCCACTCACTTCATATTCTTCCTGCAGCAAACTCCCACCAACGTACAGTTCTTTTTAATTTTTTTTTTAAATACTTGTTTCAGTGAATTAAGACGGACACCTCTCCCAGAAACAGGCAGGTGAATCCTCTGGGACCCATGGGATCCAGCTCAGAGATTGGCCCACTATGAAGTACCTGGGAAGACCAGCAGCCGGTTCCACTCCCACTCCCTTGTCCCCTTTTTCAGAACAATTACAGGTGGATCCAGGTCCCAGTTGTGGCCAGCAAGAAGTCTCTGGAGCCAGCCACACAAGGCACAGCTCTCTTCACACCCGGATCTGGTACCCATTGAGGTCTGGCATGGCTTTGGAATCAGCCGGCTTCTTCTCACCAGATGGCCTGCAAGCAAAGAGGGTAAGAACTATTCAGAAACTTTTTTTTTTTCATTCAGGAGGTGCTGCACATAGAGGTGGCAGCATGGGAAAAAGGTACAGGAAAGCTTCAGACTTATCCTACACTATTGGGGGCAGGATTATTCTGCAACCTCCAGTAGCTCTCCCAACAATCTCCACAGAAGAAAATGCAGGTTAGGAAGAGTAAGAAGTCCACTCTGGTACCCCAGATCAGTTTCAGGAGAACAATCTCACTGACAGCAGTGTAATTTTTTGAATCTCTTCAGGTACAGGTCTGTGAGATGCCAGAGATCAGACCCCAGCGTAAGGTTAAATGTCAGCTACCAAGATCACTGTCTATTTGAGCTGCCTTCCTCTTCCCTGACAAAACAAAAAAACCCCATCTGTCTCCCCATACAATGATAAACTCACAAAGGCACAGACTAGGGAAGAATGCTACTACAAGTCAGAGAAATCTCCCCTGTTATAAAGAACCATCAGAAGGATCCAAAACCAGAGAGCCAAGTGGAGTCTGTGAGTAAAACAGAGATGCTTTAGGTAGGTCTCCTGCCCAGCAGCCCTGCTCACCGTCGGTCCCCGCGGCTGTTGCGCCGATGGGGGCTGGCCTGACCTCTTTGTGGGGAGGAGACATCTTTCTTTCTGTCCTTGGTCGGAGATGGTGGCCCAGTTCCTTTGCCAATCTGCCAGAAGTAAGAACATGAGCAGAAAACCAGTACTAGTAGTAACCAGAAGACACAAAGCCTAACGATGATTAATTATATGGGAATAATAGAAAAAGAGTCAAGGCAAGTGCAAAAAATAAGCAAAAGCCAGAAAAAACAAGCTACAGTGACTGCTATGGCTCCAAGGGCTGTATACAGCCCAAGCTAATCGCAGCTGCAGTACTGCACAAGCATCCATCAGGGGACCAGCCTGTACACAAAAGAAAAGTGCCCCCAGCTTCCAATTCACCCTCTGCTCCACCACCACATAGGAGAGCCTCCTGCCACTTCATTCCCCCAGGCCACCATGGGCAAGGCCAGACAGTGGATGCAGCAGTCAACTACTTCTCCATCCTTGCTACTCACCTTCAGCCTCATATCGCGGGCATGTCTCTCTAGCTCTTTGCGGAAGTCTTCCCGGGTTAGCTTGTCTAGATCCAGGATGGAGTGCTTCCACTCAATCTGCTCCACGCTGTGTGGGTCATGGGACACACAGTGGCCCAGCTTCACCTTTTTGAGAGTGTGCCAGCAACGGCGATATGCCTCCTCGAAGTCAAAGATGAGTTCGCTCAGTGTGCGGAAGACCGGTGCTTTGTACATGAGCTCCTCGCGTCGACTGATTCCCAGTGCCCCATAGCGGCCTCCAAAATTCACCCCCAGCACAATGTGTCGGAAGTAGTTCCCTGAGAAGTGGGTTTTGAAGCTGATGGGGAAACGGTCCAGCGTGGTCATGTTGTTGGTGAGGTAACTGGTAGCAGCCACTATTCAGGAAACAACCAGTGATACCATTTCTACACAAGACACTTCCTTCTTGTTCCAAATCCTCCCAGCCTGCTCAGCAGACTCACCACTGATTCAGGCATCAGATAGGCAGGATTTGTTCTCCGGATCAGGAGTCCAGCTCATTGCAAGCTGCCCTACTTTCATCTGGGTCATGGGGAAACCAGACTTGGCCTCTTCAACAAGACAGTCAACAAAAGGAACTTAATTTTGAGGCAGTTTTGTGATGCTGAAGTTGCAATGCTCTCACCTCAAGGGTGCTGTATTCCGTAGCTCCCAAACTGTAATGCTTGAGCGTTATTCCTCAGTTTGTTTTAATCTGTTTTACTAGCTGCTATTTCACACGCAAACCGAGGAACCTTGAGGACAAAATGCTCATCGGACTAACCTTCTGAAACATTTGCTTGCTATCTCTGCCCCTCCAGGTGGCTTTGCCATTGTGCATCAGAAATCTATAGCCTAAGTGACATAGACTAAGCCTGGAAGATAGCTAGGAAAGCTGTGTACTTAAAGAGAACATATGTCTAGAATTTAAATAAAGGTATTGCCTAAGCTAGCAGGTAATGTTAGACATAATAGTAAAGTGATGTACACTATAGTTAGAATTTGGGGAGGATCTCTAACTTATTTTAATGTAGAACACATGCAGGCAACAGTGTGGTAAGGGAACAGTGTTATCCACAAAGAACTTCCTGACCTAACTCTAGCTAATATTTTTGCCCTTCCTTAGATCCTTCATTTTTATTTTTACTCACTTGTACAATTGCCCAGAGCAGCACCACCCTTACTGGGGAAGGAGGAGCAACTCCGAAGAGCTAGTTCTGATATTTCAGAGAATTGCTTGGATTTGGATTTTATTGGTGGGGATTTTGGGGAGAACTGGGGATGGAAAACAGAGTGATGTGGGGCTTGGTGACAATATTATCTGCAGCCTCAAAACATCATAAGAGAACAGAGGAGAAAACACAAGGATGGGCAGACATGCACAATTCCAAGAGGAAAGGATACATTCCCAGGATCACAGCTTCCAGGCATTTTATTGGCAGGGCCTCTTTGGTCATTTCTTTGGCCAGGTCCATCAGCCTACAGAATGGGACAAGGGAAAGATGAGGACAGTTAGAGGGCTTGTGCTATGCAAGTACAGCCAGGTCAGCCCTTCTGTATTATATATGCAAGGCAGGTTTCCAGGAGAGAAGGTGGCCTGCTGAGGACAGGGAACAGAAGAAATTATCTTCTTTAGGAAGATATTAAATCCAAACCAGGTCTCTACCACATGCTGTCACTGCTTACAAGGAACTCCCTTCAGTGAGTTACAGCAAAGCTGCCTACTAGGCCAACTTCTGTTCTCAGGGAGACCACAGCACTTGGCTCAGTGAGTTCTGGATGGACACCAATGTGACCACAAGCAGAAGCCTCAAAGGACCAAGAGCCAGCAATGTTTGCCTCACAAGGCTCAAGGACAGTGAAACCCTCTTTGCTGGCATCAACCCTGCTCTCCGTTCAATGTAGTGGGGACATTGCACTGATTACGACACAAGACATTGGGGGTCACGTAAGGCTATGGACTTGACCAATAGTAAGAAGCTGGTCTTGGGAGACTCTCAATATGCTGGCCAAGAGAGTCAATGAACATCAGGTGCTTATCTCCAGGAACTTGCGGTGCACAGATCTTCCAAAAATCCACAGTTACAATAATCCCCCTTCTCCTTCAAAGTATGAGACACCGAAAGCTTAGTGAGCCTAGATTCTGCCAAGGCACTCACAGGAGCTATGAAGTTAGACCTGTAAAGATCCTTGGCTTTTAGGAAGCTTGTTTAGGGCAGGACCTAGTTTCAGAATCCATCAGTTCATATATTCCAATTAGAAACAGGCAGAATCTGCATATCCTTGAAATACATTAACATTATTTACTGGATTTACTGATTGATGACAACAAAAACTACTTGTGTCCTCGAGAAAGGCCAGACAGAGCCCTGCCCAGCCATATCCCAGGCAACAGACAATAAAGTCACCTCAAGTAGGATGGAACTACAGTACTGAAAGCCCTGAGTGCCACCTAGGCCTTGTCCAGGGGATGGAAGAAAAAGCAGTGGGTAAAGCAAGGCCCCAAAATCTTAAAGCAAGGATTAAATGCTGTAGGGGTTGACAGCACTTACCCAGTCAGAGGTCTGCTCTTCTTAATCTCAAAGAATTGTGTCCCAGTGTGATTGTACCTGGAGGCAAGAAGTTAAGGGCTTGGCAGCTTGGAAAGTAAAGTTTGAAAAAAACCTGCCTGAAGAACTTTCATGTTACTATTCTCACAGCAAAATCACGATCCCACAAATATAACAGCAATGCAAAGAAGTCCCCACCTGCGTCTGCTGCATTTCTCCCATTTATAGTCCCTCCTTACTCCCCTGTATTTCCTTCTTGTCAATTCTTCTTTCTCCTCCCCATAGACAGGTTTCCACTCCATTTCCCAAAGGTCCATGCTGACAGCACATGCTCTGCTCAGCTTTCTGGTTACCAGGGCAGAACAAAGTTTGATAGATCTCTGCCTGCTCTGGTCTGCACAGAACGCATGGAGCGTTGAAACATTCATGGTACCTTATTCTAAGACTGACTGGGTCCCAGTGCAGAGCACAAGCACCTTAGATGGGTGAGAGGTGCCACAAGGTCTGCCTTCTTACCTTGTTTTAGGGTTGAAGCCAGAGCTAGCTTTGTATCTCATCAGTGAGATTAGACTGTGCTTGCGTGGCACATACCTGCTGTCCAGCACAACAGGGATGGAGAAATCTCATTCCCAGGACACAGTCACACAGGCAGCTCTGCATATAAAGGGGCAGAATACCACAGAAGCACAAAAGGAGAGAGCACTAACCTAGAAGGGTGGGTAATAGGGAAAGGCCCTTGACAACACACCCATTTGTTACATGGAGTGAACAAGATCAGAAGGAACAGAGCAGCAAAACAAACCATAATCCCAAGTTCAGGTTCCTGCTTTCAGGGAGCAAGTTTCAGTTCCTGTCCAGCTACAGCAGAATGGGCTTTTCTGTTCTGCACAGGGAGAGACAGTCGTCTCTCCCCCTCTTCCTGGGTTATCATACCAGTGACTGAGGTAACAGTAAAGGATACTGAAGCTCCCTGATGTAGCGCTGGACAGCTTCCAAGCGCTCAGGGATGGGGGTGGACGGCTGGAACGCAGGCACACTTGGTATGGGAATCTGAAATGGGGAGCAGAATATAAATCACTGCTTACAAACCTCTCCAGCTTCTTGCTGAACTCAATGGCACATAGCTACAGGAAGCATGTTCCTCTGAAACCAGCCCCTCTTTGCTGCCTGAAGTGACCACATCAGGAACATTCCTCTGTTCCCACATTGATAGCTGGGAAGGGATTCAGAATAAAGCACCACCACAGGCCTGCAAGAGAAACTATGTGAAAGAGTCCTTCATTTAGGCAATGTTACATTAGAAGAATTAGATAAAATTAACTGACAAGGCAAGATGCAAGACAGGAAAGCCATCACCTGAAGGAGCTTGGCCTCATTTGAGTATGCCAACTGGAAGGCACAAAACAAAAATAAGGAGAGAAAGAGGCAAAAACAGTTTCCCCAAAGCCACGGGAGCATGGAACAATCCTGTAAGCAAGGGTATGGAAGTCCCTCACTGCCTCCTGGCATCTCAGGCAAGTTGGCAGTGATTAGGACACAGGCTTGACAGCACCATGGGTCCCCCCCACCCTTGCAGTGTTTGTTGTTTTGAGTTACGTAGTCAGAATGACTTTGGAAGTTCACCATTCAGACTGCTATCCCATTCTGAGGCCTTGGCATTATGGTCCAGTCGGATTTTCCTCACCATTTGCTCTACAGGGGATAACTGCAGCCTTGTCAGCAGCTGAGAAAATATGTCTAAGGAAAGAGAAGGGTCCTGTCCGCAGGACAAGTATAATGGAGAAGTCACAAATTTGGTGTGACTGACAGGCTTGGAGAAACAGCCCAGCATCTTCCCTCTGAAGGATAGCTCATGCCTTGTACACACATGTCTGACACCAGACTGCAATTTGTCACAGCAGTTTGGTTTTTAGCATTTCAGTTCCTCCTCAGACTTCCCCCAGAGCTGGGCTATCCCCAGCTAAGAAAGAGTGAGTCAGAACCAGATCTTCCCTTGGGCCTTCCACTCTCATGTGCACAACTGCCTCTGCTGGCCATGGTTTTGTAGCCAGCAGCGCTGCTTAGCCAGTCATCGCCCTCCACATGAATTTCTGTGGCCATTCGTTTCCATACCTCTTTCTTGTGCCCTAGGCTGGAACAAGTGACTGGTGAACCGGGTCAGGCACCCAAACCAGCTGAAAGCTGAGACAGCCAGCATGGGTAGTTTTCAGTCAGATCAGTTCCCTGTCCTGGTTTGCCACGTGGTCACACACTGCTTGTGCCCGCACAGCACAGGGTCCAGAGACTGCTTAGCCACGAGACATGGGCTGTCGCTGCCTCTGGAAACTGTAAGTGTTTTTCAGTCTAGCTCCAAACACCATCAGCAAGTAAACACTGAGCTAAACTCAGTCTCTATCCATTTTCTCTCCCATGTTTTGATTTTTTTTTTTTTTTAAACTAAGTAGCACCATTTGACCATTGGTACCCATTTTCCTAGTACCTCTTGGTGGTGCCAGTGGCTGTCTCCAGTACCTCATTTCCGTGGCACTGGCTGGCTCACTTGCAAGAGGCAGCACAAGAATGGCAGGAGCAGATGTGTGACTGGATCTGTTCAGCTGCAGCAGGAGCAGGGAAGGCTCCAAAGAGTGGCACAGGGATGGAGCTGCCTCTGGAATGGCACGAACTGAATCAGTTTGGATGCTGTGAGCTGACACACTGAGTCACAGGAAATCATTTCCAGACAGAAACAATGAAAGAAGTAACAACCAGAACAGGCCAACTATTTAACTTTGTTTCATTTCTTCAGCATGGAGACTTTCATGTTTTTTCATTGGAGACAGACTTAAGTGCGCGTTGACAGCACAGACTAATAATTTGGGGTAGTTACTCCTCCCTTTACTAGTACAGACCCCCGATCCCCTTTCCCTCAAAGGACTGTGCAACACTGAGACAGCGTAATGGAAAAAATAGTTAATGCAGAAGAGCCTCCTGCACCTCAAGTAATTAAACTGATGAAAGTACAGTGTGCTCTCTCTCTCTCTCAGATCTGGGCCTGCAGCCCAGACAGGACTACAGTTTCTTTTGCATCAGGTCTATAGCATTTTAATGGGGCAATAGAAGCACAAGGAGAGGAATAAGGTCTCCATCCCTCAATCCCACACTGACAGGATGGGGACCCTAACACTTTGTTCTTCCCAGCATTGTCCACTGCACATCTCAGAAGGGCTATAAATATTAGCCAATCTTCACAATCCTTCAGAAAGCAGAATTTATTTGTAACAGAAAAAAGAGAAAAATCAGATCTATTTTGCTTTTCCTTTAGTTATTCTGAAAGCTGGAGAGAGGGCTACGAAGAGAGCCCAGATTTCCCAGAGCACATACCTCTGCAAGGCTTAGCAGACTGTTTGAACATGTCCTTGGTCCCTCATCACTTGTGTGGAGGGGTTGCACCACCCCACTTCTAGATTCACGCACCCCAGCAGGCTGGCTGTATGCTGGGATTGGGACTCTGCTTTTAGAAAGGGGATCCGGCAAACAACAGAGATTTTATGTATTATGTGGGCCATGCTGTACATGAGGCAAGGCAGATCGGAAAGGCACAAAGCTCCACCTCTGTCCCTAGCACAAAGGTGCTTTTTTGGCCAGCCTAGTTTAGCAACAGTTTCTTTTATGGTTCTTCTATGTAGCCAAGTACCTCCCTGAACTCCCTTCTGCAAGGAACGTGGGAGCAATACCAATCCCAGCTGTTAAAGAAACTGGATGTTTTCCCCTCTCTGTCTCTATATGAACCCATTAGATGCAACTCTTCCTGTCTTTGACCTCATAACCACCTCACTTAAAATCCATAATTTCTTAATGAGGCAAGCACACATCACTTCGTATTTCCAGTGTGCACACATCACTTCGTATTTCCAGTGTGCACCCATTTGATGGTCCCAGCAGCTCCAAGCAAAGCAATACCTCACCCTGTTGCTAGAAAGGAAACAACCTAGAAGAGGCTGGCACTCTCAAGCCTAGCCACGCATGGCCCATCAGCTATGTCCTGCCACTGCAGCACAGCTCCTCGATGGACACCCCAAATCTACAGGAAGGAAATGGAGAACAGAGGAGATCTCTGAGCTCTTACACCCCACTGAAAGACACAGCTCCTGCAGCTGACCTGTGAACATATTTATAAAGTCTGATCACAGCCTCCTGCAGTCATCATTTTACAGTACTAAGTTTAGTTTATGGACAACTCTTTTGAGAGTTATTTACCCCAACACCCAATGCTGGCTAGAGTTCAAAGCCAGAAACTGGGGAGTAGGCAAACCACTGTCCAGTTCTCAGCACCTCAAAAAGCCTGTTCACCCCGCAGCACATGGACAATACCTGGCTTTTCAAAGGAGCTAGCCCTGCAGAGTACACTCATTGCCCTAATTCTCATCTGTTGCATCAGCTATTCAAAGAAACTTGATGGCATAGACACATGGTGATATAAGCAGCCCTCAAAGATAAAAACACATCGTTAGAGGGGAAAAGGAGCTAGGGAAACAGAGCCCATCCATCCTTGCTGCTTCTTGCATCCCAGCATCGTCTCAGCTGTATGCCTGGTGAGCTTGGGAATGGGATCCCAGATTGTGGAGCGCCAAATAGAGTTTGTAGATCTGGTTCTGAGGGGTGCTAGCAGATGCCAAAAAGAGTGGATAGCCAAATTTCACATGTTATTATTGATAGAGGAACTCATGCTGCTTGTGATCCCCAACTGTAACCTTCTGGCACCAGGACTATAAAGTGAGAACAGTGGAAGTACCTCACATTAAGACCAAAACCAGAGACTGAACACTGTATTTCCCTCCCCTCATGCACTGGACTCTTTTTGGGGAACTGCCTTCTTCCACTTCCCTCACCTCTCCTGACCAAAGCAGCCCTTTTGGTCAGGAAATTAAGTAGTGCATGTTCTGATTGATCTGAAACGTGTTTTCAGCCTTCACCCGGGCTCAGGACAAAGTCAGAGGAGAGGAAGGAAATCTGAAAAGGAAGGAAAAGTCTAGTAGGGTTAGAACAGAGACTGTAATCAGGATTCAAAATTTGTTCTGGTTGCTGCCACACATGCCTGTAACTCTTCACTGCATAAAGGATGTTATATCACATGCTTCTCCAGAGTTCCTTGTGGAAGCAGTATGGATTGCCTGTGCGCTATATAATAGTATGTTCTTGCATACTTCAGGTTACCTTCCCAAGGAGGTAAGTCCTTGCTAAAAAAAGCCTGAGCAGAAAAATCTTCATCTTTTTGTATCTGAATTTCCTCTTCTAGCAGATGGGAATACTCTCATAACCCACCAATGGAGTAACTCACCAAATGTTTGCAGTGTCTTTTGTTCACAGAATGCCAATGAAAAGGGGGAGATTTTTCTCCCAGACGAGGAGAAAAATACACAAATAGCAACAATCACAAGAATTCACATGCAAATGTTTCAGTATGGCACAAGGTTTAGTGAAACGATCACCGGTTCCTCTTTTCACAGAGAGCTCTGCAGCGAGGCCAGGAACAGGCTTGTAAATCACATCTAACCCTACACCAGCAACAAGCTCTGCAAGGATTTGCTAACTCCTCTTAAAACTTCGGTATCAAGAGTGCCTTTTCTGACAGACACCGTCCTGTGCAAGAATGCCTTTTGGTGTGGGAGATTGTACCCAAATCTAATTTCTTCTGGTTCAGAGACTCACCTCTGCCTGTCTCACTTACCCTCCCACCTCAAGTATCCGGACTCTTCGAAATCTAACTTTCCTCATCTTTTCATTATTTACCCAGTCTTCCTCTTCAGGGCAATCCGTCTCCCTCCCAGGGGGCTAGCACACTAGCCATCTGAAGTCTGTTTTCCAGCAAGGCCTCAGAAGAAGAGGGTGCTGCTGGCGCGCCAGGGCAGGGCAGAGCTCCGCACACACCCTCCCGCACCCCGAGTTACTGCGTGGCTTTGCCTCCTGCCAAGAGCCCCT